ACAACTAGGAGTCATTATGAGAATCATCATTATGATGATGTAATGGTGTGGGGTAGAAGGAAGGCAAGAAATGCAAAGAAGGAGAAGGGCTATGTATTTAGTTATTGCCATTTTATTTCTCAAAACTGATTTGGAATATCATGTAACTTTATATTTCTCACTCTGAGATGCACTTGTTACTGCTGAGGTATTACGTTATTGCAGCTATAATGCCAACATCATGTTGAAGCATGAGCAAGGTGCACACTAGAATTAGTTGGGCAAATACAGGGTGGGGCAAAAGTAGGTTTATAGCTGTTTGTATGGAAAATAATACATTAATAAATAAAACAAGAATAAATTCTGGCTTTCACATACTGACTGTAAACCTACTTTTGCCCCACCCTGTATATGGTGATCCTATATCCAGTTAGTTCATGACCAATCAGACCAAAAAAGACAAATAGTAACCTTGCTCTGAAACCAGTTTATTTACAGGATATGATAAGCAAAAAAATAAAAACAAAAATAAATACACCAGTAAACAATACAAATAGCATTCTTCAATAAAATCCTGACTCGTGCTTATAAACTGGGTTTACTTTCCTCGGTGAAGTGTATTTTGTAACTTGAGAAATTACTCCTCTACAGCTCAGAACTCAAAGCAAATGTGAATTGCTGACATTTACCTTTAAATTGCTCTATCAAACAAAGTCACCATTTGTCAAATTTACACGGCCTAAACATGTTTAAGAGATTCCCTTTCTGTCCTAGCTGGTTTGGCTTAGTGGACAGAACATTGGGGTCCCGGGTTCAATTCCAGTCAAGGGCACATGCCCAGGTTGCAGGGTGCATGCAGAAAGCAGCCAATCAGTGATTCTCTCTCATCATTGATGTTTCTATCTCTCTCTCCCTCTCCCTTCCTCTCTGAAATCAATAAAAAAATATTAAAAAAGAGATTCCCTCTGTGAATTATTTATTCTGAAAACAATATATTAAATGCAATAATTCTTCTATCCTCCATCAAAAAAAGGAGGGGGCGAGTTAGTAGAGTGATTGTTTATATCAGCCACAACCATAGTAGATGACAAGGGCAAATCATAAATGTTCTAATTATATAAAGATAACTATTTGGTAGATACCTTTACATTAAATGGGATTTACTGTGTTGAAAACCATAACACTGAAAAATGTGTAATGTCTGCTTACTGGACTAATCAGCTTTAATTTTCTCAAAAATATTTTTTTCAGAACTATAAAGTAAACCCTCACTCTCTGATATTTAAAAAAAAGTCCATATAAGCATAAACCTGTGTATACATAATCAATATTGATACAGGAAGAGCTTTCTATAAATCAGTTAGCAAGCCAAAGCTGTAAGCTTTGATCAGCTACCATTTTTGCTACATACACTGCCAAAATCCTGTTGCAAAGCCTATCTTTTGACTGGTGGGCAGGATGATCTGCAAACTGAGATGCCAGGGGTAGAGTGGGGGACACATGCAAGTAATACTGTATCCCTGCTGTGCTTGGTGTAGAATTTACAGTTCTTGTAATTCTATCCTGTTGGAAAATAGAAGACATTTTATTCTCTATATATTGAATACTCTAATCTTCCTGATTATAATTGGGAGATGATAGTTCAAGGTTTCAGGGAAAAAATGTAAATCACACAAAGTTAATAATGTGTATGTGTGTCAACCATGATTTTTCAATTACTGCTCTCTGCTGGGACAAAAAGCCATCAATCGACTGTGTTCTAATCCAAGAATTAATCCTTTTGCAAATGTTGCTTATTTTCACTAAAGCTTTAAATTACTGGCTATGCTACTAAATTAAAAAATGTTACCATAGTACATAAATTTTTTGCTATTTGTTGCTGTCACAGTAAAGGCAGTTTAAATCATACCAAAAACACATAATTTTAAGTTGTTTATTTAGTTTGATGTTTTCCTTTTGAAGATTCCGTTTACTGGCATTGAGCATCAGACAAAAAATGAATTAAAGTCTTCCTACCAACCAATTATCCTTTAGTTCACTCCTTAACAGTACATCTATATCTAAAGATAATTATCCAAACTTCCTAGATCAATGATATTTAAACTTGAAATTTTATACAAATCACCTAGGAATCTGGTTAAAAGGTGGATTCTGATTCACTAGGTCTAGGGTAAGACCTGAGATTCTGTTTGTCTAACAAACTCCTAGGGGACATCAATGCTCCTGGTACTCGAACACACTTTGCTAACCAGTGCCCTAATCCAGATGAAGAAAACATTTGACCATTCTTTTCTGGTAGAATTGGTTAAGGGAGAATGAATATTTTTCTGTGGGGATTTGTTGAAGTCCTAACCCCTAGTGCCTGTGAATGTGACCTTATTTGAAAATAGGATCTTTGCAGACAAAACCAAGTTAAGATGAGGCCATTAGGGTGTCTTTATAAGAAGAAGAAAAGCCCATGTGAAGACAGAGACAAAGACTGAAGTGATACAGCTGCAAGCCACAGAACACCAAGGATGCCAGCCATCACCAGCAGCTAGGAAACAGGTATGGAACAGAGTCTCCCTCACAGCGCTCAGAAGAAACCAATACTACTGACACTTTGATCTTGGAATTCTAGCCTTCAGAACTGTGATACAATAAATTTCCATTGTAAGATTAAAATTAATTAATTAATTAAAATACTGGAATTAAGTTTCATCTGGAAAAGATGGCATAGATTCCTTTCTCCTTGTTTCTTTTCATTAGGTGGAAATATTAACTCTGGAAATAATGCAAGACACAATCAAAGGAAAACTCTTAAAGAGGGATTATGGACCAAATTGTATCCTCTGAATATTTGTGTGTGAAACCCTAATCTCCTATCCTATATAATAAAGAGGTAATATGCAAATTAACTCTCATGCCTTCACAAGATGGCTGCCTATGACCAGGCCTGCAGGGGGGTTAGTGAGGTACGACCACAGGACTGAACAAGCAGGCTGCATGGGGAGACCAGGCCAGCAGGGGGGTTAGTGAGGGGAGACCAGGCTGGCGGGGGGGCAGTAAGGGGCAATCAGGCCAGCATGCAGAAACAGTGAGGGGCAATCAGGCCGGCGGTGGGGGGGGGAGTTAGGGGTGACCAGGCAGGCAGGTGAGCAATTAGGAGCCAGTGGTCCCAGATTGTGAGAGAGATGTCTGACTGCTGCTGGTTTAGGTACGATCCTGGGGATCAGGCTTAAACTGGCAGTCGGACATCCTCTGAGGGGTCCCGGATTGGAGAGGGGGCAGGCTGGGCTGAGGGGACACCCCCCCACACACACACACACACACACTGTGCAGGAATTTCATGCACCGGGCCTCTAGTGTGATTATATTTAGAAATAAGGCATTTAAAGAGGTAAAGTTAAATAACATTATAAGTTTGAGGACCCAGACTGAAAGTGAACAGGGGAAATATTCTCCTGAGTGTTTTCCTCCCCCACCAATAGATACCAGCACTGCCAGGCAACAGTGGCAAAAGGAACCCACCAAAAGTGGCCTTACCCCATAAACCTTAGTTCTCATGGGCTTGAGAGTACTATCCCATTGAGACATATGCAGATAAGTTCCATCCCAGAAGAGACTGGCTTGTAAGTGATCTCCTTCCTATAACTTGAGAATCCTCTCCCCCACTTATAGACATCAGGTGGCTGAGAGGAACCAGCAAAGAGGATCACTCCACATAAAGAAATGTGATTTCTTCCTTTCCAATCTGTACGCATTTAAATTTTTACCATTGAATATGATGTTTTTCTGTGGGCTTGTCTTATATGGCCTTTATTAAGTTGAAGAACATTCCTTCTATATTAATTTGTTGACAAATTTTATCATAAAAGATGTTGAATTTTGTCAACTGTTCTTTTCTGCTTCTATGAAAACAATCATTACTTTTATCTTATATTGTGTTAATGTGGTATATTAAATTTATTTCTTTGCATATCTTGAACAATCCTTGCATCCTGGTCTAGCATTCTGGCACACAGTGTAGTAGTAGAGCCAGGATCCTGGGATAAAGCAGATGTGTAACTACCACAGTGCCTGTGTCCTGGGGCATTGGCCTACTTGCTGTGGCTGTGGCATTGGTATCTCTGGTGTGGACATGAGCATATTTCCTGTGGAACCAGGACCTGTATCAGGGGCTTATCATAATGACTACAGCTGTTGGGGGTGGTACATAGCAGCAGCACTAACCTTGGGATGACAAGGGGGAAGTAGTGGCTTGGTCCCAGGAAGTAAGTTTACGTAGCAGCCTAGGGATTGTGTGTCAAAGTCTCAACTCTGACCCCTTGGGCCAGTCACAGGTCAGCAAAAGCATGACCCCAGTCCTGGTCAGTTAAAGCCCCATGTCAGGACCTGGGGAGCTTGGCTCAGAGCAGTGGCAGCGCTCCAGGGCAAAGATACTTCAGAGTCATGACTTGGGACCAGGGGTGGATCTCAGAACAGTAACAGCATGACCTGGCATTAATGGCTCAGATTAGTGACCTAAGACACAGCTGGCTAATGCTGGTTTACAGTCACAACCTGGAATAAAGATTGCAACAGCTCAGACAGCAACAATATGGCTGGTTAAAGTGGTAAAAGTATGACCTGGGACAGGGGCAGGTGGGGCTCAGGGAAGTGAAGATGGCCTAGCAATAGTAGGACAAAGCTGTGATCTGGGGTCAGAGGTGTGGTACAGAGTAGTGGCAACTTTGGTCCCATATATGATATGGTACTACGGCTTCTGATCCCAGAAAGTGGGACAAAGCAGCAACTGTGGCCCCTGAACACAAGCTTCACTACAGTAACAGCTCCAAGTCCAAGTTGTAAGTGCAGTGATGGAGTCTATGTGGTAACTTGGTGAGCTGGTGAGCTGGTATCAGTGTTGGTTAAGACTGGGAGACCTCTGTAGTAAAGGATGCAATCAGTCATAGTGGTCAGGTGTGATGGTGTTCTTCTGCTGATTTTTTTACTTTTTGGGTGAAATTCCTATGACAGGATCGCAGCTCATGCCAAGTTGTAGGAAGAGCTCAGGAGATTTATCTCAGTGCTGTGGCAGATGCAATGGGGTGAGCACACTCCGCCTGCACAAGCTTCCTCGGCACACCAGGAAGTGGCATCGCCCGCCTGAGCAGACCCCCTAGAGCCCCTACATAGTACCCTGATCTTTCCTACTATTGGTTGCCCTATGGATGTTGTAAACTTCTGATTGGTCTGGAATGTTATATATGTTGCTGCACTTACACAATAAACTTAGATCTGCGTCACTGAACCGGTCTCCGGAGTCGGGCATGCTTCGTTAGGACTCCGTCGGCCTCACCCCCGTGGGACCTCCTGCTTCACCAAGTCTCTCTTGGCTGGGGGATGGAGTGATGCAGGTTATATGCTTCCTGTACTTCCTATGCAGTCATCATCAATTTTTAAACTCCACAGGGTTTCTGCTGCTTCTTTGTTGTCCAGAGGTTTCCATGAGCTATTTTCTTTAGTTTTTAGTTATTTGCTTTTTTGTGTATGCATGTGGGAGAGATGAATGTTGGTGCCTCCTAGCCTTTCATATTATTTCTAAGGTTGTGGGCATTTCCTTCTCAATTTGTAAAAGTGCTCACTACATTAATAATATTAAATTTTGTCCATGGTATAAAATGAAAATTTTTAAAAAATAGAGAAGAATCAGTGAGGACTCCTGGTTTCTACAGTGAGGCACTTGGAAGTAACCACTCCATTCTAACAAGTATAAAGCTAAACAGCCTTAAAATAAACAACTTTTCTTGGATTCATAAGAGAGGGGAGGACACAGTACACACTATTTTCCCCAAGATTGGAGACGCAGACACTATAAGGAGTTGTAGCTTCACAGAGCAGAACCACAAATGGAAACTGCCAAGGGAACTAAAGCCAAGGTAGGAAACCTGAACTGTAATTGACAAATTTTTGGAGGTTTGGTGTGAAGAAATCTGAAAGACAAAAACTTCAAGGGGACCAACTCATACAGGGAGAGAGTCATACAGGAGGTACCAACATTCATCTCTCCCACAATCTATAATAATAAAAGCATCCTATGCTAATTAGACCGGAGAGCTGAACGACCTTCCGGACGACCTTCCAGACAAAGCTGGGGCTGCGAGAGCCGAGCCCTTTGAATGAACTTCATGCATTGGGCCTCTAGTATTTTTATATTTACCTCTAGGAGTTCAGCCAAGTTTCCACAGTAAATATTAGAGAAAAATTCCCTTATGTTTCTGGAAGGTGGAGAGGAAAATATAAATCATTTTGAAATATGCCAGAGTACTCTGTTCTGCTTAACTAGGACTGTACTCAGGGAAAACTAGTTAACTAGAACCTATTTGCTGGAATATTATCAGAGCCTAATTGACCTAGATGACAAGAAATAAACAATTTCAGCTAGGTCTAGGCATACATCTGGGAACAATAAAATATTCAATTCCAGCCCACAATAGTATCCTTGTCTGATCTAAGGAGGGGAGGATGAGAACCCCAATTTAAGTTCATAGTCCAGATGTATAGACTCAATAAAATATCCTATATAATTAAATCCCAGCGACCATAATGGCAAAACAACCAGAACAACTGCTCAACCAGTCACTATGAGGTACACTGATCACCTCTTGGTCACTTTCCCCAGCCAGCAGATCCGATTGCCGTGGCACCGTGGCACCAGGCCAAGGCCCCTGCCCCCCACTGGTTGCACCACACACAGAGAGTGATGTGGTGGGGGTGGGGCTGGCAAGTGGATGGAATGGCCAACCTTTCAGTCCCTCCCCCCAGCTGTCAGGCTCCCATCGCTCAATGGCAAATGGGGAACCGGGGTGGGTGGTGGTGGGTGGAACAGCAAAACTCTTGGTTCCTTCCCCAGCCAGTATGCTCCGATCACCCGATGGTGAATGGGGACCTGGGGGTGGGTGGCAGGGAATGCAGCAGCACCAGGCCAAAGCCCCTACACCCTGCTGGTCACCCCAAACACAGAGGGCAATGTGGTGGGGGTGGGGCCGGTGAGCAAATGGAAGGGCCGACCTCTTGGTCCCTCTCCCTGGCCATCAGGCTCCCATCATCTGATGGCGAATGGGGAACTGGAGTAGGTGGCGGCGGAGGGCGGGGCCAGCTGCTGGCAGCCAGGGAAGATGGCCCTGATTGCAGACTAGGCCTAGGGACCATACCCGTGCATGAATTTTGTGCACTGGACCTCTAGTAGAGACATAATCATAGAACTATAGAATACAATTCCCTTCTTCCATAAATCACCACCACATTAGTAAAGGCCTATTTATAAACATTCCTTTTACCCAGTAACTGATGTTCATCTATCAAAAAATAAATAACAAGGATACCAAAAGGCAAAAATAAATAAATATAGATAGATAGATATAGATAGATAGATAGATAGATAGATAAGATAAGATATTATAAGCATCAGAACTATACATGCCATAGATGTTGGAATTATCAGACTAGAAATTTAAAACAACTATGATTGCAATACTAAGAACTCATAAAATAGACAGCATGCAAGAATATCTAGGCAATGTAAGAAAAGTTATGAAAAAACCTAAGAAAAATAAATAAATTTTAGAGATAAAAGCACTCTAATTGTAATAGTAATGAAGAATGAGTTTGATTGCTTATTATTGTACAGGATATGGCTGAGCTAAGAATCCCCAAGCTAGAGAATATATGAACAGAATCCTCAAAAACCAAAAGGAAAATAACAAATAGTGAATAAAAACAGAATGAAATATTCAAGAACTGAGTGGGACAACTATAAATGTCTAACATATGCATGATAGGAATACCAAAAGGAAAAGAAAGAGAGAAAAAAGCAGATGACTGAGAGTTTTCCCAAATTAATGTTAGACATCAAACTACAAATCCAGGAAGTTCAGAGAACACCAAGCAGTGTAAATGACAAAAGCAAACAAACCAAATAAGTAAGTAAGTAAGTAAATAAATAAATAAATACCTGGGTATAGTTCCAAAGTAAAAAAAATCAAAGATAATATAAAAATATTGAAAGAAACCAGAGGTGTGAAAGCATGCTAATTCTATTGCAAAAAATCTTTTAAACTGCTTTTTTTTTTTTAGAAAAAAGAAAAATATAAGTCAGAAACTTATGTGTTCATAAAGTAAGGAAGAACATCAATGAAGGGGTATGTGAAGGTATAACAAATACTTTTTTTCTTATTTTAATTTATCTGAGAGGAGTTTGTTCAAAATAATATTAAAAATCTAAGTGAAGTAAATGACAGCAATAATATAATGAATGAAAGAAAATAATTAGAATTTTTTAATTTTTATTTTAAGAAACTTACAGTACCTGTATAGTGTTATTTTAAAAATGACTTGGATAAGCTGTAAAAATAAATTGCAAATACTAGAGTAACCAATGAAAAAGAAAAAAAAATAGAACTGTTATGCCAAGAAAGAAGAGAAAATTAAATCACATAAAATGCTCAATTGAAAGCTCAGTAGAAGACAATACAAAGAACAGGGACAACAAATACCCAATTGAACTGGGTGGAGGGTGGCAATGGGGGAAAAGCCTGGGGATCTGTAATGCTCTCAACAATAAAGATTGACAAAACAAATACAAAAAAAGTAGCAATTATGCTAACTATTAATTAAATTATATCACTAATCATTTTGTTCAATGGCCTAAATGCACTATTTAAATCAGATATTATCAGAGAGGATTAAAAAACAATACTGAAATATATGTTGACTCAAAGAAACTTACTTTAAATATAATAATAATGCATATTAAAAGTCAATGCGTGGGGAAAATATATCATGTTAACACTAATCAAAAGAAGCAGGAGTAACTATATCAATTTCAGAGAGAGTAGACTTCAAAGGAAGATAAGTTATTAGAGATAACGAAATACATTACATATTTAGAAAGTGGTCAATTTTCTAAGAAGACAACAATTTGTAATGTGTATACACTTAATAATAGAGCATGAAACTATGTGAGACAAAAACTAATAGAATTGCTAAGAGAAATAGATGAATTCACTATCATAATTGGAGAATTTAACAACCCTCGATCAAAATTGGACAGATCCAGCAGGTATAAATTCAACAAGGACATAGTTGAACTCAATAACACCATCAATCGAATGGATGTAATTGACATCTATAGACTACTTTATCCCAAACCAGCAGCATACACATTTTTCTCAAGCTCAAATGGAATGTCTACAGAGACCACATTCTCGGCAATAAAACACACCTTAACAGGTTAAAAATAATGGCAAACACACAGTATCTGTCTTTAGACCATAATGAAAGTAAACTAGAAATCAATAACAGAAAGATAATTGGAAAATACAAAAATACTTATAAATAATGCATCGTTTGAAGAGGAAATCTCAAGAGAACTTTTAAAATACTTGAACTAGCCTTGGAACCAAGATGGTGGCATAGGTAAATGCCTGTACTCACCACCTGCCACAACCACATCAAAATTACAACTAAAATATAGAACAACCATCATTAAGAACCACCTAAAGCTGGCTGAATGGAAGTCCTACAACTACAGAAGTAAAGAAGAAAGCACATTGAGATTGGTAAGAGGGACGGAAGCAGGGAATGTGGCTGGTCTGACATACATGTGTGCCATTTTTTTTAATAGGGAGGGAGATAGTCCCTGCAGATGCTGCCTGTGAGGAGCAGAGGGTCCCAGCCCCTCAACAGATTCCCAGAGCTGGGAAGAGAAGTCCCCATAATTTGGGGCTTTAAAACCAGTGGGAATTGTGGCTGAGTGACAGGGAGGCTGTTGGAGACCCAGGTGTCCCTCTTAAAGGGCCAGCACATGAACTTACTTGGACTCACTTCCTCTGCACTCCAGCCCCAGGAGGTGTTGGGTGACCCAGACACATATGTAGAGGAACTGGATTGTCTGGAATTGGGGCAGGAACTCAAGGGTGGCTTTCTTCAAGACAGAGGTGCTCACAGAGGTCATTGTTCTCACACTAGGTCCTCCCCTGTCACAAGATGGAGCCTTATCTGAGACTTCATCAACATGGCGTACACTATTTGCTCCACCCTGGGGATTCCTGAGACAAGACTGTGCACCTAGAGTGCCCAGCCCAGGTGACAAGGGAGGCTGAGCCACTGGACCTTACAGGACACCTACTGCACAAGGCCACTCTACCAACTCCAGGAGACATAGAAGTTCTACCCAATACATAGAAACAAACTCAAGGAAGCAACCAAAATGTGGAGACAAAGAAACATGTCACAAATGAAAGACATGAAAAAAGCAAACTACTGGATACAGAGTTCAACACCATGGTTATAAGGTTACTCAGGGATCTTCATGAGAGCTTCAAGGACTTAGTGAGACTTTCAAGGATCATAGCGAGAATGTCAAAGACATGAAAAAGGACCAGTCAGAAATTAATCATACACTAACTGAAATAATGAATAATTTACAGGGATTCAACAGTAGAGTAAAGGATGCCAAGAATCAAATCCATAATTTGAAATATGAGGAACCAAAAACCATGCAATCAGAAGATCAAAAAGAAAAATAATAATCCAAAAATGTGAAGATAGTGTAAGGAGCTGCTGGGACAACTTCATCATACCAACATTCTCATTATAAGGATGCCAGAATGAGAAGAGAGAGAGCAAGATAATGAAAACCTATTTGAAGAAATAATGACAGAAAACTTCCCCTACCTGGTGAAAGAAATAGACTTAAAAGTCCAGGAAGCACAGAGAGTCCCAAACAAGAATCCAAAGAGGACCACAACTACACAAATCATAATTAAAATGCCAAAGGTTAAAGACAAAGAAAGAATCTTAAAAGGAGTAAGAGAAAAGCATTTAGTACCTACAAGGGAGCACCCATACGACTGTCAGCTGATTTCTCAATGGAAATTTTGCAGGCCAGAAGGGAGGGGCAAGAAATATTCAAAGTGATGAATAGCAAGGATCTACCACCAAGATTATTCTACCCAGCAGAGCTAACTTTTAGAATTGAAAGTGAAATAAAGAGCTTCACCACCAAGATTACTCTATCCAGGAAAGCTAACGTTTAGAGTTGAAGGTCAGATAAAGACAAGAAAAATCTAAAAGGAGTTCTTCTCCACCAAACCAGTATTACATGAAATGTTGAAGTGTATTCCTTAAGAAGAGGAAGAAAAAGAAGAAAAAAAAGATAAATATATGAACAATAAAATGCCAATAAATACATATCTATTGATAATTGAATCAAAAAATCAAAATAAATGAACAAGAAATCTAGTGAACAAAATAAACTGGTGAATACAATAGAATATGAGGCATGGAAACAGGGAACAGAATGATGAACTCAGAAGGATGCAGTGAGGGGGAAGGTGGGAAGAGATTAACCAAAGATCTTATATCTATCTATCTATCTATCTATCTATCTATCTATCTATCTATAAATAGGTAATATGCAAATGAGGTCAGGACTCCATAAGGATCACAACCAGCTCAGGAGGTGGGGCCTGGCACAGCCCCAAGCCTGAGAGAACAACTCACAGGTGCAGCCGGAGCCTGAGAGATCAACACAGAGGGGCGCCTGCTCCGAACCTCTGAGGCTACCTGCAGCTGGGGACAGGCTCCAAGTGGGGATATAATCCTTTAACACACACACACACACACACACACACACACACACGGCACCTGCTCCAAGCCTCCGAGGGCAGACTGCGGCTTAGGCCTGCTCCCCACGGGGAGCGTGCCTAAGCCGTCAGTAGGACATCTCCTGAGGGCTCCCAGACTGTGAGAGGGTGAAGGCTGGGCTGAGCGGCCCCCACCCCCCAGTGCATGAATTTCATGTACTGGGCCTCTAGTACTAGTATATGCATTATCTATGAACACAGACAATAAGGTGGTGAAGGTCTGGGGCAGGGGAGATGGGTGGGAATCAGGTAGAGGGGGACAATAGGGTGGAAAAAGAAGGACATATGTAATACTCTCAACAATAAAGATTTTAAAAATAATAAAAATTTGATCTAAGTAAAAATGTAAAAAAAATATCAAAGTTTGTGAGATGCAGCAAGAGCAGTGTTTAGAGAAAAACATAGAATTTGATGTATTTATTAGAAAGGAATAAAGCTCTAAAATTAATAATCTAGGTTTTCAGGTTAGGAATCTAGGAAAAGATGAGCAAACTAAATTCAAAGTAAGTAGAAAAAATTAAAGCAGAAAGCAATGGTATTGAAGAAAGGAAATAAATAGGTAAAATCAATGAAATTAAAAGTGGTTCTTTAACAAAGATCAATGAAGTTAATAAGCTTCTAGGCAGGATAAACTATAAAAAAAGAGAAAATACACAAATTACCAATACAGAAAAAAAAAGAATAGACGTCACTACAGATCATATGGACATTAAAACAACAATAAAACAATGCTATCAATATTTCTATGTCCACAATTTTTTAAAATTATATCTTTATTGTTGAAAGTATTACATTTGTCCTCCTTTTTCCCTAATTGACCCTTTCTAGCCCCGCCACCATTCTCCACCAAGGCCTTCACCATCCTATTGTCTATGTCCATGGGTTATGTATATATGCATACAGGTTCTTTAGTAGATCACTTCCCATCCACCCTCTCCTGCCTTCCTTCTGAGATTCCACAATCTGTTCCACAGTTCTATGTCTCTGGATCCATTTTATTAATCAGCTCACTTTGTTTATTAGATTCCACATATGAGTGAGAGAATGTGATACTTGTCTTTCTCTGCCTGACTTACTTCACTTAGCATAATATTCTCCAGATCCGTCCATGCTATCTCAAAAGGGTAAGAGATCATTCCATTTTACTGCTGCCTAGTATTCTATGGTATAAATGTACCACAGCTTTTTTATCCAGTCATCTGCTGATGGACACTTGTGCTGTTTCCAGATCTTAGCTATTGTAAAGTATGCTGCTCTGAACATAGGGGTGCATACATTCTTTCTGACTAGTGTTTCAAGTTTCTTAAGATATATTTCTAAACGTGGGATCACTGGGTCAAATGGTAGTTCCATATTTAATTTTTTGAGGAAACTCCATACTGTTTTCCATAATGGCTACAACAGTCTGCATTCCCACCAGCAGTGTATTAGGGTTCACTTTTCTCCACATCTTGGCCTGTACTTGTCATTTGTAGATTTGGTGATGGTAGTCATTCTAAAAAGAGTGAGGTGATACCTGCATGTCATTTTAATTTTCATCTCCCTGAAGATAAGTGACTTTTAGCATTTTTTATATGGTTCTTGGCCATCTGCATGTCCACTTTGGAAGAGTGTCTATTTATACCCCTTTCCCATTTTTTAATTGGATTATTTGTCTTCCTTTTGTTAAGTTGTATGAGTTCCTTATATATTTTGGATATCAACCCTTTATCAGATGTATCATTGCCAAATATGTTCTCCCATACAGTGGGCTTCCTTTTTGTTTGATGGTTTATTTTGCTGTGCAGAAGTTTTATTTTGATGTAGTCCCATTTTTTTATTTTTCCTTAATTTTCTTTGCACTAGGAGATATATCTGTAAACATATTGCTATAAGTGATATCTGAGATTTTGCTGCTTATGGTTTCTTCTAGGATTTTTATGGTTTCATGTCTTACATTTAAGTCTTTTATCCATTTTGAGTTTATTATTGTGTATGGTGTAACTTGATATCTGGTATTGTGATCCCTCTAACTTTGTTCTTCTTTCTAAAGATTGCTGCAGCTATTTGGGGTCTTTTTTGGTTCCATATAAATTTTGAGAGTATTTGTTCTAGATCTGTGAAATATGCTGTTGGCATTTTGATAGAGATTGCATTGAATCTGTACATTGCTTTGGGTAGTATGGACATTTTAATGAAGGTAATTCTACCTATTCAAGAAGAGGATATAGTCTTCCACTTGTTTGTATCTTCCTCTATCTCTTTTTTCAACATCCTGTTGTATTCTGAGTATAAGTCTTTTACCTTCTTGGTTAAGTTTATTCCTAAGTATCTTATTTTTTGTTGTTGCAATGGTAAATGGGATTATTTGTTTAGTTTCTCTTTCTGAGAGTTGATTATTGGTGTATAAAAATTCAATTGACTTCTAGATGTTAAGTTTGTATCTTGCTACATTGAAAAATTCATTTATTAAATCTAGTAGCTTTTTGGTGGAATCTTTGAGGTTTTCTATGTACAATATTATGCCATCTGCAAAGAATAAGAGGTTTACTTCCTCCTTCCTATTTTGATGCCTTTTATTTCTTCTTCTTGTCTGATCCCTGTGGCTAGGATTTCCAGTACTATATTTAATAAGAGTGGTAAAAGCAGATATCACTGTCTTGTTCCTGTTTTTAGGGGAAATGGTTTTAGTTTGTGCCCATTGAGTATGATGTTGGCTGTAGGATTGTCATTTATGACTTTTATTATGTTGAGGTATGATCCTTTTATTCCCACTTTGCTGAGAGATTTTATTGAAAATGGGTATTGGATTTTTTCAAATGCTTTTTCTGCATCTATTGATATGATCATGTGGTTTTTGTCTCTCAATTTGTTTATGTGATGTATCATGTGTATTGATTTGCAGATATTGTACCAGCCTTGCATTTCTGGAATAAATCCCACTTGGTCATGGTGTATGATCTTGTACATATATTGTTGGATCTGGTTTGCTAATATTTGTTTGGGATTTTAACATCTAGGTTCATCAGGGTTGTTGTCCCATAAATTTCTTTGTAGTGTCTTTATCTTATTTTAGAATCAGGATAATACTGGCCTCATCAGCAGAGCTTGGAAGTGTTTCTTCCTATTGGATTTTTTTTTTGGAATAGTTTGAGGACTATAGGTGTTAGTTCTTCTTTGAATGTTTGGTTTAACTTCCCTATGAAGCCATCTGTGCCTAGACTGTTGTTTGTTTGGAGTTTTTGATTACTGCTTCTGTTTCATCAGTTGTTATTGGCCTATTTAGGTTTTCTGATTCTTCCTGATTTAGTTTTGGGAGATTGTATTTTTCTAGGAATTTGTCCATTTATCCACATTGTCCAGCTTGTTGGCATATAGTTGTTCATAGTATTTTGGTGGTGTCAATTGTTCTTTCACTGCTTTCATATCTGATTTTATTTATTTGTGTCTTCTCCCTTTGTTTCTTGATAAGTCTGGCTAACAGCTCATCAATCTTATTTATCTGTTCAAAGAAACAACTCTTGTTTCTTTGACGTTTTGTATTTTTAAGCCTCTTTTGAGGAGGCTAAAAGGTTAATTCCAATGTAATCCTGATATTGGGGGTGGGTGGGCTATCAATCTGAATCCATGCCAGCAAGCTCAGTGTACATTCTTGATAACCTATAATTAAGTCACTAACTCTTTCCCAGAAACTGGTCTTGCAGAACCTGTTCATGAGGCCATAAAACTGTGAACAGTGCACTGCTCTGGAGGGAGGATTATTAATGCTGGCACCAGGCCAGACCATCAGATATGGCCTGGAGACCCCCAATACCTGGGGGCCTTCTTGCAAGGCCCGCAGAAAGGACCGGAAGCATAATCCATATTTTTAGGACAAAGACCCCAGGAAGATATAAAAGAGAAGCCCCCTGCATGTTACTTTACTCAGATTTGGAAAGTTATTCCCTGAGTCCGCTGGCATAAATAAACAGTGTCACTCCTTTTCTCTAAAACGTTGCTTGGTTTTTCTCTGGTCTTCTGCAACACTATGACGTTTATTGCTACGCTAATCTTTATTATTTCCTTCCTTTCACTTTGTGCTTTTCTTGTTTATCTCTTTATGATTCTCTAAGTTGTAGGGTTAAATAGTTTATTATTAATTTTTCTTGTTCTTTTTGAGGTAGGCCTGTACTGTAGTGCTGTGAACTTCCCTCTCAGGACTGCTTTTGCTGTGCCCAGATATTTTGGGTTGTTGTGCATTCATTTTCATTTGTTTCCAGGAAGTTTTATATTTCCTTCTTGATCTTGTTGTAACCCATTCATTGTTTAATAACATGCTATTTAGCCTCCATGTGTTTGAGTGTTTTTACTATATTTGATTTCTAATTTTATTCCATTGTGATCTGAGAAGATGTTTGATATGATTTCAATTTTCTTCAACTTGTAGAGACTTTTTGCATCCTAACTTGTGGTCTACATTTGTGAATTACCCATGTACACTCAAGAAGAATGTATATTCTGCAGCAACTTTGACATGAAATGTTCTATAAATGTCAATTAAATTCATCTGATCCAGTGTGTCATTTAGAATCACTATTTCCTTGTTAATTTCTTTTCTGGAATATCTATCCAGTGAAGTCAGTGGTAAAGTCTTATAAAATGTTTAAATATACTTAGGTGCTCCTATATTGTGTGCATATATGTTTACCAGGGTTATATCCTCTTGTTGGATCAATACCATTAGTATTATGTAGTGACTTTTGTTGTCTCTTGTAATTGCCTTCATTTTGAAGTCTATTTTGTCAGATATGAGTATTGCTACCCCAGCTTTTTTTCTATTCTATTTGCATGGACATTTTTTTTTCCATTCCTTCACTCTTATCCTGTGTGAGTCTTTTGAGATGGGTCTCTTGTAGACAGCATATAATTGGATCATTTTTTTTGTATCCATTCAGCTACCCTATGTTTTTTGCTTGGAGCATTTAATCCATTTACATTTGAGGTTACTATTGATAGGTACTTATTTATTGTCATTTTAATTCTTTATATCCTTGTTTCTTTCTATATATATTTCCTCTTGTCATTACAGCAGTCCCTTTAGCATTTCTTGCAGTCCTGGTTTGGTGGTAATAAACTCCTTTAGGTTTTTATTTGTCTGGGAAGCTATTATTTCACTATTTTAAATGATAGCCTTGCTGGACATAGTGATCTTGGTTTCAGATCTTTGGTTTTCATTACCTTGAATACTTCATGCCATTCTCTTCAGGACTGTAGAATTTATGATGAGAAATCAGCTGTCAGCATTATGGGAGCTCCTTTATAGGTAACAAATAGCTTTTTTCTTGTAGCCTTTAAGATTCCCTCTTTGTCTTTAATTTTTGGCATTTCAATTATGATGTGTCTGGGAGCATGTTTGGGTTCTTCTTGCTTGGGATCCTCTGTGCCTCCTGAACTTGTGTAACTTTTTCCTTCAATAGGTTAGGAAAGTTTTCTGCCATTATTTCTTCAAACACATTCTCTTTCCCTTGCTCACTCTCTTCCCCTTCTGGCACACTTATTATGTGAATATTTTTAAGGTCCATGTTGTCCCCCAGCTCACTTAAGCTGTCCTCTTGTTTTTTCATTGTTTTTTCTTTTTGGATCTCTGATTGAGTGATTTTTTTCTAACTTGTCTTCTAATTCACTGATCTGATCCTCAGCTTCCCCTAATCTGTTTTGTATGCCTTCCAATGTGTTCTTTATTAGGTCTATGTCATTCTGTATTTCTGACTGGTCTTTTTTTCACAGTTACTATATTTTTTCTAACTGTTAAGCATCATTGCCATCATTATTCTAAACTCTATAGCTGGTGACTTTTTTTTAATCTCCATTTAGTTTAGCTCTTTTTCTGGATAATTCTCTGATTCTTTCATTTGTAGGTTATTTTTTTGTGTCCCCATTTTGGCCACCTGTTTTGGTTTGTCTCTATATATTAGTTAGATATGCTATGACTCACAGCCTCTAGGGCAGGACAATGTCAGATGCTGTTTGTGACTGGCCGTGTATCCTGTTTAGAACTATCAGCCTTCCACAGCTTATGGCTCCCTCTGCTAGGGCTGGGTGCCTTTGTAAAGGACCAAGTTATGCTCTAGGGACTGCTTTTCCAAGCCCCAGGCTCAGAAGGAGATCAGGCAAAGACTCAAAACCAACAGAGTTCCACCTCTGCCTGTAGTTTTATTGTTATTCTCAAAGTCTTAAATTGCCTAATGTTATAGACCACAGGGTGGGGTGAGAGGTCTTCCAAAAAGGTGGGATAACTGCCTTCCCTCCAGGCAAAAACCACCTGGATAACAAATGTCTGTGTAAAAAAGATGTCCTCTGCAACTTGAGGGGATAATTCAGCACAGAAAAACTGAATGTCTGCCATCCAATCTCCAACCTCAGAGCCCCCAACCCTGGAGTCTCCTCACACAGCTCCATTCCATTCTTCCCTCCCTCTGTCAGAGCCCAAGATAAGTGGCTGCACACAAAATTTTGTGTGTGGACCCTTTGATAGGGTGCCTGCATTTCCAAGAATCTCTCCATGGCAGAGAGCAACCCTGTGCTTTTCACAGCGAGATGTTCTTTGGGTTCCTTTCTCAGTTCTGTTTTTCTGGGCTTCGGAGCCCAGCTTGGGGTCTAGACCACAGAGTTGTCAGTGGGAACTTCCCACAGCTTAGATATTCCTCCAGACATTTCACTGCTGTCTGTGGGTGCCTGGACAGCCCTTTCATGCCTCCACACTTCCTACTAGTCTCTATGTGGTTTCCACTTTCTGTCCTTGGTTATCATGGTTCTCTCCAGCTAGTCTTCATTTGATTTTTCCAGCTGTTTTGTTTTGTTTGTTTTTTCTTCTGTATTTTGGTTGTATTTCTAGTTTGGTCCTAAGAGAGTGTCACTGTACCTTCCACTTAGTCCACCACCATTTTTAATTTTCTCCTGTCCACAAATTTGATAACCTCAATGAAATTATCCAATTCCTTGAAAGACACAATTTGCCAAAACTCAAACAAGAAGAAACAGATAATTTTAATGGGTCTCTATCTATTAAAGAAATGGAATCAGTGATAAATAACCTTCCAAACAGAAACCCCTAGGCCCACTGGTGAATTCTTCCAATTATTTAAGGAAGAAATTGTATCAATTTCCTTGCATGTCTTTCAGAAGCTAGAAACAGAGAGAATATTCCTTAATCCATTCTATGAGGACAGCACTACTTTAATAACAAAACCTGATAAAGACATTATAAAACAACAACTAAATACCAATAATTTTCATAAACACAGATGTAAAATTCCTCTATAAAATGTTAATACATTAACTGCAAAAATATAAAAATATTTATTCACCACAACAAAATAGGCTTTATTCCAGGTCTGCAAGGCTGTGTCAAAATTCAAAAACCAATTAGTTGAATTCATCACATTGACAGGCTAAAAAAGGGAAAAAAATCATATGATTATATCAATGGATGCAGAAAATGCATTTGAAAAAATCTAACACTCATTCATGACAAAAAAATTTAGTAGACTAGGAATAAAAAGGAGCTTCCTCAACTTGATTAAGAATACTCATTAAAAAATACAGAAAATAATGTGCTTAATGGTGAGAAATTTGAATCATTACCACTAACATCAGGAAAAAGACAAGGATGTTTTTTCTAAGTGTTCCCTTCATCATTGTACTGGAAGTACTAGCTAATGCAAAAAAGTAAGAAAATAAAATAAAAGGTATACAGATTGGGAACAAAAAGACATCATGGCATGATAATTTTGTCTAAATTCAGAAAAAATTCACAATCAAACAATTATAGCAATGTTGCAGGATACAAGATTAATATAAAAAACAATCATTTTCCTATTTATCAGCAATGTAAAAGTAGATTTTATTATTAAAAATATAGTACCATTTACATTACCATGTAAAAACAAAATACTTAGGCACAAATTTACCAAAATATGTATAAGATTATATAAAAAATCTACAAAATTCTGGTGAATAAAATTAAAGAACAAATATATATTTCATATTCATAGATAGAAAGACTCAATATTATCAGCATGTCAATTCTTTCCAACTTGATATACATATAGCTTTAATGCAATCTCAAACAAAATCCCAGCAAGATTTCTTTCTTTTTTTTTTCACAAACTAGAGATATAAACCTTTATTTCACAATTTTGCTATAGTTCACTTTCTAATAGGACATGCACTGAGGACACAGTTTCAAATTCTGGGAAAGCAGATGCTGGGTGTCTTCCAGGCAGGAGCAAAGACATGGTCACTCCAGGGCTGATGCATTCCTGAGGCTCTCAGGCAGCAAGGACCAGATGTTCCAGTGTCATCCAACCCCAGTTTTACTTAGAGCTACCCTCCTTTTTTGGGGCCATCAGTCCTCATTTCATGCCAAATTTTCACTAGAGCCTCCCTGTTCTTCCAAATGAGTTCATGACCATAAGTAATATACCATATTCCAAAGAGAGCTCCCCGAAGATGTGCTTCATGATCAAAACATGTCCATCCCAGGATCATTCCTGCTATATCCTTATCAATAATGGCTTTTAGGGCATTCCCTGTGGTGAACGTGAACATTGGAAGAGAAATAATGGCGAGCCTCCCTTCTGGGATCTTAGTGCAGACAGCTGCAAGGACCATCATGATTGCGCCTGATGCTCCAAGTGATGGTCCATGTCTTCCTGTAGGCACTTTACACACATAACTGAAAAAATTGGAAATAACACCTGCAGATAAGTACACCACCATGAACTGCTCTTGACCCAGGATATTCACTATGCTGGAGGAGAAGTACCACAAAACATACATGTTTGTTGCATATGAAACAAGGAGAAATGACTGAATGTAGACATCAAAATTGGAGAACAAAGGTCCTTTGAGGCTGGACTGGATGTGAAATATCTGATCATTCCCCGCTGTAAAGAAGGTGCTCTCCATAAACAGAATACAAAAGCATTTACAGCTAAAATACCTATCAACAGTCCGCTGGCCATCACTTAGGTTATTCCACCACTAAAAAAAAAGGCATTACAAGAGTCTGAATAGGATATGGAGAAGGTTAAAAGACTGTTTCTTCTACAGGAGGAATCAAAGCACTTCTCTTGTATGCTTCACTGCCGGAAGCCACCCCTTGCCAATATTCTCAGTGCACCAAGGAATGCGGAAGGCCAATGGATCTTGAGCTTTAGAAGGGCTGACACTAAGCACTAATTGTTGTGTTGAGATAGTGGTGTCTCAAAGCAATTCCCTAACCTGATAATTCTTTTACTGTTTACCAAACTTTACCTTTGATATGCCTTTATGCATTGCTAAAGGGCAAATGTGTATTCAAGAAAAAAGATGGCAACTGGCAAGAAGGTAGTGAGGGAGAGTGTGTGTGTGAGAGAGGGAGGTGGCGATAGAGGAGTGTGTGGACATGTGTGGTGTGTGTGTGTGTGTGTGTGTGTGTGAACTAGGGACAGTTAGATCCTGTAGGTCTTCCAGGCGGCTGCCAAACCGGGCAGTCTTAGAAGGTGAAACCCCACTGCCACCACAAACACACTGGGAAGGACACTGCTGTCACAGAAACCACACCATTTTGAATAACAGAACTGATTTAGACTAGGATCCTAGCCTTGCCACAACCCAATCTGGTCTCAGACGCAAACTGGAACCCTACAGCCACTTGGGACAAAGACCTGTGACCACAGCTGCAGACCCACGGACACCAAGACTCCAAGCATCCCAGTGGTGGATTTCTGTGAGTCACAGAGCCCATTCCCTTCCATGCTGGCTTGCTGCAGTGGCATAGAAACTGCTAGACCTGCTCCACACAAGCAGGTCTCCTGCTCACACATGGTGGCTGTGCTACCTGAATGTGAGCCTGGGCATGCAGACACAGAGAGTTTGTTCCGTGCAGTGCACATTTGCATGACCTGACCCCATGCCCACACAGGGAGGCTGCACTAACTGAATTTGAGCCTGGGCGTGCAGACACAGTGAGTCTGCTTCCTGCAGCGTGCACCCACATAACCAGACACCATGCCCATACAGAGTGGCTGTGCTACCTGAATTTGAGCCTGTGTACATGGACACAGGGAATCGGTTTCCCACAGCACTCACTTGTGTGACCAGACCTTAGACCCACACAGGGCAGCTGTGCCACCTGACTTTGATTCTCTGTGAGTGCACAAGGAAGTCTGTTTCCTGCAGTGCAGGAATGGACGTCCTGCCAACACAGGGCAGCTATGCAACCTGGTCCCCCAAGCAGACTGGGGATCCTAATTCTCCACGCAAGAGGCAGCACAGAGCACTAGTGACTTTGTTTCTCATTGCCTGGGCACGGGATCCCTGATTCTGAGGACACGCACACTAAGAGCCAGTGATTCCAATGCTCAGCATATGAGCACACAGGGACCCTGATTCTTGGCGCGAGGCTTCACCAAGTGACAGGGACTCCAATACTCTATTCTCAGCATGGGCACAGGTGGACACTGACTCCTGGCATGTGGTAAGGAACTCTGATTTTTGGCACACCCCAGCAGGGTCTCTTTTTTAGCATGGCGCAGGTGGGGTCCCTGATTCTAGGTGCATGCATGAGGCCAAAATGAGCACCAGTGACTCTAATCCTGGGCAAGCGTGGTTCCCACATACCCATGGCAGCTACATGTCTTGGTGTTGGAGCTCTTCAGCAACACTTAGGGGGTGCAAGCCCACTGCACATGGCTCAGCCCCCACGACTCGATGATTGGACCTTCTGGTGATAGTTAGAATGGGAATACAATGAAACAATCCCCAGAGGAAAGAAAAATAGGAATCTCCAAGAAAAGAAATAAGTGAAACAGAAGCATGCAACATGACAGAAAAAGAATTCAGAGCAATGGACCTAGAGTTCATAAACCAGATGGACGAGAATCAACAACCTATGCAAAAATCAGGAAGAAATCAAAAGTGATATAGCTACAATCAAAAACACCATGGAAAGTTTCAACAGTAGACTAGAAGAAGCAGAGGATCGAATTAGTGAGTTAGAAGATAAGGTAGAGAAACAAGCCCAATCTGAACAGCAACTGGAGAAAAAAATTAAAAAGAAGAAGAGCCTAAGGAAGCTTTGGGACAACACGGAACAATGTAACATACATGTAATAGGGGTGCCAGAAGGACAAGAAGAGCAGCAAGGATTAGAGAATATATTTGAGGAAATAATGACAGAAAACTTCCCTGATATGGGGAAGAAAAAAGTTACACAAGTACAGAGAGTCCCAAGCAAGATGAATCCCAAAAGATCCACACCAAGACACGTCATAATTACAATAGCAAATGTTAACAACAAAGAGAGAATCTTTAAGGCTGTAAGAAAGAGACAGAGAGGTACTTACAAAGGATACCCCATCAGATTATCAAATAATTTCTGAACAGAAACACATCAAGCTAGAAGAGAATGGAATGAAGTATACAAAGTGAAGCAAAGCAAAGGACTGAATCCAAGAATACTCTATCCAGCAAGACCAGGGGTCCTCAAACTACGGCCCGTGGGCCACATGCGGCACGCCGAAAACATTTATCCGACTTCAAAATAAGATATGTGCAGTGTACATAGGAATTTGTTCATAGTTTTTTTTTAAACTATAGTCTGGCCCCCCAACGGTCTGAGGGACAGTGAACTGGCCCCCTGTTTAAAAAGTTTGAGGACCCCTGAGCAAGACTATCAATCAAAATTGAAGAAGAAATCAGGAGCTTTTCAGATAAAAAAGGGCTAAGGGAGTTTGTCACTACCAAGCCAGTGATGCAAGAAATGCTAAAGGGAATGCTGTAAAAAAGAAGAAATATAAATGTAGGAAGGAACACAGGCATAAAGTACAGAAATGGCTACAAACAAGTACCTATCAATAATAACATTAAACATAAATGGATTAAATGCTCCAATCAAAAAAAATCAA